AATTATAATTATAAGATGGTTTTTCTATCAGAACTGGTGGCTTTATCCATTATAATTATAAGATGGTTTTTCTATCAGAACTGGTGACATTATCCATTATAATTATAAGATGGTTATTCTATCAGAACTGGTGACTTTATCCATTATAATTATAAGATGGTTATTCTATCAGAACTGGTGACTTTATCCATTGTAATTAGCTGCATCTCGTGCTGTATCATTTAATGCTCCAACAGTTCGATCAAATGCTTTCTGCATCTCCTCCATGTGACGTCGATAACGTTGACTGAGTTCTTCCAGGTAACGACTACTTAAAGACATGTTTAATTCCAAAGCTTTAATACGGTTACTTAGTCTCATGAAGACTGATTCCTTCTGTCCAGCTTGTGTTGGAACACCTACTAACATGACAGGATCATATTTATGACCATTACCATTCAGTCTACTTTCATGGAGGTGTGTGTCAGGAATTTTTTTTTCTCCAACAACAACTCCTTCTTTGTTAAGATCCTTGTCCTGGTCTGAAAGAGCATCTTCGTTTCTAGCAGAATGGGTATCATTAGCTGAGGCTTGCTCTAATGAAGGTGTTTCCTTCTCTTCCATCTTTCTATCACTGGTTGGAGAGAGAATTTCTTCAGTAAGATTCACAGTGTTAAAACCTACTGTACTCTTCTCCATTTCGTCATTGTAAGATGTTCTATTACCTTCTGAATCTCTATCAGGCACGTTCACTTCTCCACAACTTTCTTCACTATCTGTTTTCTCAGTTAATCTCTCACTTTCTGGAATAGTCTTGGTTGGCTGGATGTTTTCCTGAATATTGGTAACATCTTCATATTTTAAGATATGACTTACAATAGGAGATTCCACAGGTTGTGGAACTTTACTTGCATGGTGTGTTGGAAGTTCCTGAAGGATACTTTCTGCCACACCAAAAGAATCTGATGTTGAGGCCAGTTCAGAAGGGAACAACATGACAGTAGTAGATGTGGTTGTAGCAGAGGCTCCTTCCATCATGCTAGTGAATTCGTCCTCACATTTATCTTTAGCTTCAAGGAACTGCCCTAAATGGACACTGTATAGCCTACACAACTGATCCAGTGCCTTAGAACCTAACATAATTTGAAGAAACCGACAGGTTTGACTGGATACATCTGAAGTGAATTTCAAGTGGATGTCACACAGACCACAAATGAACAGGTGTGGAATTAAACCATTAGTTTCTTTCTCATACTCTGCACTCAGGTTAACATTTTTAGTGCTGTGATTTGAGAAGTCCACCACTGGCTTATCTTCAATGTCAGGTCTACAGGAAAGATGCAGGAATAAAAATAAGATAACTGATCTAGAATACTTGAGAATGTTAGAGACTCAAACAATCTAGGTAATGCTTTATTTGGTGCTATTTAAAAAACTTTTTTAAAACACAGATAACCAATGTAATTGTACAAAATTTAATAGTGTAAAAGAAGAAAAAAAGATTATCTAATCTCACTACTACATATTAATTATTTGACAATTAAATAGCTAATTTTAAACACATTTTTAATAAGAAATCGTTTTACCACCTAAAAGCTTCTGTAGGGGATTCAGTGGCCATCTTTTCATCTTCATGTTCTTCTAGAAGAAATAAACCAGTCCTGTTACTATATCAAGAAAAGCTCGTGTCAAGTACATAAATAATGTAAAAAACGATATCAACTCAGATTAGGCAAATTCATATTTCACATTACTTAAATTCTGGAAAAACATGTAAAAACCACCCTATAATAGGGTAGGTAGTAGAGTGATGTCAACTTTGATGATGATAATTATAATAAATTGGTCACTGAACAAAACCACAAACACTTTGGAAAAGTAATAAGAAGCAAATTATTAATTTGCTCTTAAGCAAACTAAGCAAAACAAGGTGTTCATTAATAGTTGAACTACTAATTCTGTAAAAAAGGAGGCTGTGTCAAAATAGATACAAAATATCAAGTAATGGAAATAATCACGGAAATGCACAAATGATAGACATACAGTATTTTCTGTTCATTTTAAACAGAACACTACCCTAGATTTTATGATACCATACAATTGTGGAATATTTTTCCTTATGGCTTATATTACACCCCACAATTTAGCCAAATTGTTGGTCACTTTCTGACATTCAGCCTTTCCATCCTTAAGAATGTTCATGTTCTGCAGGTCAAGCTATGGTTGTGAATGTTTCACTGACCACACTTGCTGTATACCTAGGTAAGTCTGAGGGCTTATAGTGACAAGAAGAAGGTTTGATAATCAGGGTGATCTGACACAGTACTTATGTATTTATAATTACAAACAACCATCAGCCTGAGACATCTCTGACACAATATCACTGTGTTTATAATTATAACCATTGGTCTGAGGCACCTCTAACACAGTACTGACGTGTTTATAGTTACAAACAGCCATCAGCCTGAGACATCTCTGACACAATATTACTGTGTTTATAATTACAACCATTGGTCTGAAACTCATTCTGGGACTTTCACCTGTCTATAAATGGCATCCCTTTCAGACATTAAGGTTACTACAGCTTCTGTCAAGTTGGTGACTTGAGCTTGAAGTTGTCCAATAGTTTCTTGTTGACGAAGATCCTGCAGAAAACAATGCTGGTGAATGAAATGTTATATATTAATAAACAATTAAAAAAAATTATAAACCTCTCACAACTGAAAGCAATGGTGGTTTCAAGTTTGGTTTGTTACACAACAGTCTGTTTAACAGTAGAGAGAAGAAGGGAATCGTAGTGAATGTACAAAATCTACAGTGTTGGATCAGTACAAGTATGAAGCTGGATCTTAGCCAATGGCATACATGATCTACACAAAATTTATGGTACCTTTATTCCAGACAAGTTCAGATAGATTTTGATCCATCAGGCAAACAACACAATAAGCAGAGTCTGTTGTTAAGCACAAAGATACACAATGTGTTATCTGTGTTGTTGGGTGCCTCAGGATGATGGTTGTTTGTAATCATAAACACAGTACTGTGTCAGAAATGCTTCAAGCTGATGGTTGTTTGTAATTATAAACACATAACTAATGTGTCAAAGAGTTTTACTCATAATAGAAATTTTATCTTAAACTTTGTCTGATTTTAAGTATAAAAACAAAAAGATGTGTTGTTGTTAAAGTTTTATTTATGTTATGTATTTTTCCAGCTTTATTTATGTTATGTATTTTACCAGCTTTATTTATGTTATGTATTTACCAGTTTATTTATGTTATGTATTTACCAGCTTTATTTATGTTATGTATTTCACTAGCTTTATTTGTTACGTATTTACCAGCTTTATTTGTTATGTATTTCACTACTTTTATTTATGTTATGTATTTACCAGCTTTGTTTATGTTATGTATTTTACCAGCTTTATTTATGTTATGTATTTCACTAGCTTTATTTGTTACGTATTTACCAGCTTTATTTGTTATGTATTTCACTACTTTTATTTATGTTATGTATTTACCAGCTTTGTTTATGTTATGTATTTTACCAGTTTATTTATGTTATGTATTTACCAGCTTTATTTATGTTATGTATTTACCAGCTTTATTTATGTTACGTATTTACCAGCTTTGTTTATGTTATGTAT